CCATGTTGACCAGGATGGTCTCGATCTCTTGACCTCGTGATCCACCCGCCTCGGCCTCCCAAAGTGCTGGGATTACAGGCGTGAGCCACCGCGCCCGGCCATCTTTTTTCTTTCTAGTAATGTATTACTATGATGTTTTTAATAAAAATGACATGGGCCAGTTGGTTTTAAAAATATACGTTTTTGAGAAGTTTTTTAATCAAAGTCATATATGTACATACTTTGGAAATCAAATGCAATGATATGCACCCCACCTTTCCTACTCTGCATCTTACACCCCTGGCACCGCCTCTCTCCATTCTTTTAGATCAAACCTTCCACATTTTGCATCCTTGTATCTAAATAATATGTTTGAACTTCTGTTTCTAGATCACTTTAAACATTCTGTATTATCTTTCTGTTATGGAAGATAAGGATTTAGTGTTTCTGTACTACCTGTTTCTCCATGCCTCCCTTTCTCTAATTTTTTTATTAAATTGTAAATTGATTTAGTTAATAATTACAATGATAAAACAAAGTAAATGTCATTCACAGCTGAATCTAGTAGAAGTTTAGAATTGCATTTCTAGAATAACTTTGTTTTCTTCTAGCATTAATAATTGCCACTTCCTTCCATTGGCTTAGGTTTTCATATTCCACTTTCTTGTTCTTAAGCTTTAAAGTAAAACTCTACAACTCTTCTCAATACTTACAAACACATAGGTAATCTATTCTGGTTCAACTTTTATTCTTAGAGTCATCCTTCTGAGGCTCTCCATCCGCTTGCTGCAATCCAGATTGGTTTTCCTCTGGATTTCTACATAGCTGTTGTCCAGGGGCTTCTTTTAAGAAAAGAAAAAAACATATCAAGAAAAGAAAAGAAAAATTTCAATTCTTTATTGGATTTCGTATTTCTCATTACCCAGTCTTTCTCTTTATTCAGTAGAGTTGCACATTGCAGTTAAAAAGAATTTATAGATTTATTTGATACAAATTTTGACAGTGTAATAATATAAAATCTTTCAATCCATGAATGTGGTATATATTTCTATTAGTTTCCTTTAATCCTGGTTAGCAGTGTTTTGTAGTTTTTAGCATAGCAGTCTTACAAATCTTTTGCTAAATGTATTTCCTAAATGTCTTATTTTTTTGACATTATTATAAATAGATGCTTTAGAAGTTTTATTTTCCAATTGTTTGGTACTAGTATATAAAATATAATTATTTTTGTACATTGGCTTCTATCTGCTGACTTTGCTAAATTCACTTTTTAGTTGTGTAGTAAACTCCATCAGATTTTCTACTTAGAAAATAATTTCATCTATAAATAGATACAGTTTTACCTCTTCCCTTTGATATTCGTGTCTTTTATTTCTTTATCTTGTCTTATCAAGTTGTATGGGAGTTTTGCTTCTATTTGCATTTTATCTAAATAGGAAATAAAGTATATACTTTTTTGTACTTGCTTCTGTTGCTCAACAGCATATTTGCGGTATTCTATATATTGTTATGATTAAATGTAGATTATTCCTTTTCAGTGTCATATAGTATTCCAGCATATAACTATGCTAAAGTTGACATATCTATTCTATTGTTAATGAGTATGTGCATTTTCAGCTCATAAGGTTACTAAAGTGCTATTATGAACATTCTGGTACATGTCTGTTGGTGAACATATACTTGTATTTCTGTTCAGTTTAGACTTCAGAGTGGAACTGCTGGTTCATAGAGTATGGAGCATGTGATTCTCATGTTTTCTTTGACTTTATAAGTATTTACCATGGTTACCTCTATACTACATTTTAACAGTTTCTGGGAAAGAAGAGATTAATGTGCTCAATTTTCATATTAAAACAGAAGTCACACATCCTTCTCTTTCAATTCTTTGTTCCTTTCATTGATTCTTTTCACTGAGCTCCTTTCATCTGTTCACTAGGACTTGAGTCAGAGAATACATAGGGGCTTTCTGCGTTGTTTACTTGGCCTGTCTAGCGAGGCACGTGGCTTCCATCCCTTCGTGGCTACTTCCTATCTACTCTGCTGCCCCTTCTTACAGGTGTACTCAGATCCTGCCACAGACTCCCAAAACTTGTATGCCTGGAATGTCTCCTATTCTAGTCTCCTTTCTTCTAGTCTGTGCCTTTAGGTATTTATTCAGTGAGAATTATTTCTACTAAAAGACTGCCCAGCTGCAACCAAACAAAAGCACATGTCTTCTTGATAGCTGTAGGCAATTCAAAGATCCAAGCACTTAGGAAAGAAGAAATTTTCACTTCTGTTTTCCCCAGTGGGAACATTTCTAGGGATTGAGCTGCTTCCCCTATGTTTGCATATAGCTGATCCTGTGCAAATGGAAGACTAAAAGATGAAATATCACTCAAATAGTTCCTCATCTTGATAGTAGGATGGTAGTAGAAGAATATCAGGGGAAATCCTTATAAAACTAACATTTTAGGGATTACCAGAAGAGTTCATTTACTCCTATGACATCTATCCACTATTTTAAAGAATAATTGAAAATCTGTCCAAAATGAATATCTATCACTTTACAACAGTATTCTTAAAATTTTGGTGAATATTGGATATATTTTAAGTAGAACCAGAATTATAAGGGATCTAAAAATGAATCCCATTGTTAAATAAGGAATACTAAAATAAATAATCTTATTTTTAGACATGCATTTTTATATACTGAAAAATGATAAGCAAAATTTTTATTTAGGGCTTGTAGTAAGGAAATCTAAAATTTGATCCTAAAAAAATACTATATACCAGCTGAGGACTTAGTGTATTAGCCTTTTTGGGCCTCAGTTTCTTCATCTATAAAATGGGCATAGTGAAATCACCCATTGGATTGTTGTCAGGCTCAAATGAGAACAGGTACAATTCCCAACATGGTGCCTATTATGTAGCAAGCATGCAAATGATTTTCTATTGTTATGTTAAAAATAGAAAGGAGTTACATTTTGTTTGCTTCTTAATATTTATTATTGATACAGAGAGCAACAAAAGAAATAAAAATAATTAAAAATGTATAAGCAAAGTTGAAAAGACAAATATTATAGCCATGAAAAATGTTATTTATGAGTGATATATGTTAATGAACTGAAAGCAAAGCATCTACTCAGCATTTAACATTTATTTGGCTACTAAAAAAATCCATGGCAAAAAAAAAAAAAAATCTCTTTCATGACACTCAATGAAAACAATGCATTCAGGACCAATCACTTTAAATATTTATAGAAAGTATAGTGGAGGAAGTGAGCTAAACCAAGGAAGGAATTCCTCTAGAGACCTCAAAAGAATGTTTCATGGTCATGCCGGTGTCGCCTCTACCCTGAGAATGGTCAACTAATCATGTGCTTTTGTTTCTCCAGGGAGAAGTTGGCAGTGGCCCGACTGCAGCGAGAAGTTGCCCAAAGAACAAGTGAGGGGGCCATGGTAAGTCCTGACTGCCTTCTCCTCATTCCATAGCATCCAGAGGTCTCTGGCTTGAAAGCTACTTTGCTTCATTAAGGATATCTATGGAAAATATTTGCTTGCAGCAAGCTTAATGATATTTTAGCAAATGATGTATTTATAATACAATTTATACAGCTTGGCCATTTGCCAACAGAGTGAGAGATATTAATTTTTTTAAAATGAGGCTTTAAATAAGATGTTCAGATGTCCAAGGATGCTAAGGCTTTGTTTTGTGAAGTTTCCTGGATGCCCAGACTTCCAGCAATGACCACGATATCTGTAAATGAGCGACAGTTCAACGTAATTCAACCCTCTCAGCTCTTTGAACTTAAAAAACAAACAACAACCATCTTAGTGTTCAGAACACTAAGATGTTTGCTAATGTAATTGTCTTTATTATTTTCCTTCTCTTCACTATTTGCAATATATTTTTCCTTGTCCTTTTCAGCTTGTGCCATTTGGAAAACTGATGTTTCCTTGTTTTTTGAATTGTACTGAAAATCAATATGGTTGTTTTGGTCCACAGCAACTTCATTTCATAGACTGTCTTTGCCAAAGTATCTGCCTCTGTGCCACTTGTAACATCAGAGATGACTGTCTGGGGACCTGGGGAATGCATGTGTGGAGTAACTGCTGTTGCTACTTCTGAAACAAAAATACAGCACCAGATTTATTTTTTCTCCTACTTATGGCAAAACAATGGAATGTGTGCAAGTTTTCAGTAAAAGAGTTAGATAAGTAGCACATTTTTATACCCTGAAGACTGCTTCCATTTGATTTCATGAGAGTTAACTGACAAGCCATCCACTGAAAAGGGTGTGAAATTTGTAAAATATGCTGGCCTCATACTTCTCTCAGCAGGGAAATCAAAGGGCTAGAATAAGAGGCCAAATGTTGAGAGGTGTCTGGAAGGCACAGTGGCCCCTGAGCATGCTAAAATACTTAGGAAGGTGATCACAGTGTTTATCTTAATGCAAAAAGAATCTTGAATGTTCAAATGATACAAAGAAACATTCATGGCTGGGTGCAGTGGCTCACACCTGTAATCTCAGCACTTTAGGAGGCCGAGGTGGGCAGATCACCTGAGGTCAGGAGTTCGAGACCAGCCTGGCCAACATTGTGAAACCCTGTCTCTACTAAAAATACAGAAATTCGCTTGGCATGGTGGTAGGCGCCTATAATCCCAGCTACTCGGGAGGCTGAGACATGAGAATCGCTTGAACCTGGGAGGTGGAGGTTGCAGTGAGACGAGATCACACCACTGCACTCCAAAAACCCTGTCTCAAATANAAAAAAAAAAAAAAAAAAAAAAAAAAAAACGAAAACATTTATGAACATCTTTGAGCAATGAAATGGAAACAAGATGGAGAAAATAAAGGTCTAGTTGGATGGTGGACTGAGCATTTCCAATCTGGACTTCTCCCTGAATTTCAAAATACTAATGGGCTTGGTCATTCTGTAGTGTTTTGATCTTTTGTTTAGGACTAGCTTCTGCTCACCACTTGATCAGCGATGTTCTAGTTGAATGTGAGGAAGTAACTTTCATAGGTCAGTTGCCTCATCGTTAAAATGAGGAGGTGGAAATTTTGTGATTCCTTTACTTCGTGGATTGTGCTTTTGAGCATTTGCTCATGTAAAGTTTTCATGATAAGCATCTCTTTCTGGTAATAACTAAATGTTATTTAAGCTGATAAGAAGAACAGGCCTTGAAAGAACAAACTTTGATTTTTTTCTCACTCTGACATTGAGTTGAAATGATCCCAGACAGCAGTCTAGTATTTTACAAAGACAAATCCTCCTTTTTAAAACATTATAGAAGTTCATTGTAGAAAATACCCAGAAAACACAGGTACAAGGATGACACCCAACTGCTCAAAAAATGACTTTGGAAAAATTACGAATGTTTCATTATTCTAATTTTAATTATGGTAATGAAAAATCACACTTTCGTATTGATGGGTTGGACAAATATTTATTGAGCATTTATTATGTGCCCAGCACTATTCTAGCCGCTGGAGGAACAGTGAACACAGGCAAAATCTGACACCCTACAGTTTAGTGGTTGGTGAGACAGATATTCGATATGATTAAAATGTTAGCACATAGAAGCAGCTATGAGAAAAAAAAAAACCTGGGTAGGGGATATTTAAAATAAGATGTGCATAGTATTGGGAGGATCATTTGAGCTCCAGAGTTTAAACCCAGCCTGGGCAACATAGGGAAACCGCATCTCTACAAAAATACAAAAAATTAGCCAGGCATGGTGGTGCGCACCTGTGGTCCTATCTGCTTGGGAGGCTGAGGCAGGAGGATCACTTGAACCCAGGAGGCAGAGGTTGCAGTGAGCCGTGATCATACCACTGCATTCCAGCCTGGGTGACAGAGCAAAACCCTGTCAATCAATCAATCAATGGAACATGTATAGTAGTAAATCACTGAAAAGTTAATATCTGAGCAAAACCTTAAGGAGGTGAAGGAGTTTTTACCATGAGGTTGCTGGGGGGAGGGGCATTCCAGTAGGGATATCAGCACATGCAAAGACCTGGAGTGCCAGGGGAACTGCAGGCAGGCAGGCCTGGCTTGAGGGGATTGAGGGGAGAGGGTGAAGAGTAAAAAGAGAAAGCAAAAAGTGATGGGGGTTGGGAGGTAGGGAGGATGGGAGGTATGGGTGTACCATCAGGGTCCCAATGGATCCCTGACTCAGGCTTTGGGAGATAGGAATGATCAGAAGACTTCTAGCAAGGCCCCAGTACTAAGTGATTGAACTTAATACTATTCATATTCTTACCATCTCCCTTCCCATTCCATGATTTGTCACATCTCAATTCCTTGGAGACACCATAAGCCCTGATTTTCATTAATGTCTTTATTTTAGTTCTCCCTCTTTCTGAGTAACTTCTTCTCCCTGTTCCTTTACATAGTCAAACTCCTCTGAGTTTTCTATTTAATTATATGCATCAGCTTCTCTGCTCCTAAAATTCACTTATTTTTGAAGTCCTGATTCTTTCAGTATCTGACAGCTCCTAAAAAATTAGGCAGTTCTATTAATCCTTTAAATTTAATTATTGCTGTTACAAGGGGTTTTTTTTCACAGAACATTTGTTACGTCTATAGCAGAAATGGAAAATAGTTCATCACAACTAGATTACTGTGTGTATTCAGAGATTATTGTTTACAGTTTTCTATATTTTTATTCATGTGAAAGGTAAAATGGTATGGAAGAAGTCAAGCTGTCTTTACAGAGAAGCTATATAATTAAATTAAGACTGGTATCTATTTTTAAAGTCATCAACAAAGCTGTTATAATCAAAGTCTTTAACACAAAGGATGCCCTCTTTAAAATTTGATTTTATGCAATAAATCTCTACACTTACAAGTTTTAAGATAGCCCCAAGGCAGCATTTTGAGAGATTTACTTTATTTTATTTAATTATTTTATTTTATTTTTGAGATGGAGTTTCGCTCTTGTTGCCCAGGCTAGAGTGCGATGGCATGATCTCAGCTCATTGCAACTTTTGCCTCCCACGTTCAAGCGATGCTCCTGCCTCAGCCTCCAAAGTAGCTGGGATTACAGGCACTACCACCATGCCCAGCTAAGTTTTATATTTCTAGTAGAGATGGGGTTTCACCATGTTTGCCAGGCTGGTCTCAAATTCCCAACCTCAGATGATCCACCCACCTTGACTTCCCAAAGTGCTGGGATTACAGATATGAGCCAACATGCCCAGCCAAGATTTCTTTTATTTTTTAATAAACTTTTAGTTTGAAATAATTTTAGATTTACAGAAATGTTACACACCTACCCACCCATTACTCAGTTTCTTCTAACGTTAGCATCTTACATAACTATGTAGTTGTCAAAACTAAGAGATTAGCATTGGTATACTACTATTAATTAAGCTTGAGACTTTATTAGAGCAGTTTTTCTGGCAATGCCCCTTTTCTGATCTAAGATCCAGTACAGGGTACCACATTGCATTTTCTTCTAAAAATAAGAGGACTTCTTTTTAATGACGAATTGAGCACATATGTAGAAACAGAAATAACATGAGCTTGAAAGTGAGACCAGTCTGGATCCAAAGTCCATCCCCACCAGTAGTTACCTAATTACTGTTAACTTGGACATGTTACTTCATTGTTATTATTTTTTTAAATCAATATTGTCTGCTTATTTGTTCTATTAACTCAGATCTTTATTTTTGGAAACTTTCTTCAGTGTACTAGATGTTTTATATTTGTTATCTTTGTTCTTAATTTCCTCTTCCAGGAAATAAATGCCACCATTGTTTTTCATAGGTACCGTTCAGTTTTTTTTTTTTTTTTTTTTTTTTTTTTTTTTTTTTTTTTTTTTTTTTTTTTTTTTTTTTACAAACTCTTTGAGATTATGTTTCTATTCATCCTGGGGGTTGTTTCATCTTGTGCTGAAATGTTGCAGACTCAGTTTACTGAGAGGTCTCTTCTGTCCTTAACACTTCAGTGTTTTCTTAAATATTGGTATGTATAAAAAATGTCCTTCCTACCCCCAAGAGTATGAAGATATTCATTCTCATTAGCTTCTAGAACTTTTATAGTTTTTTAATGTAAATTTTTATAAATTTCAGGTGGAATTAATTTGGCATGAGGTAGAGATCAGAGATAAATTTTTCCCCAAATTAATCGCTAATTTTTCAACACCATTTGTTGAGCAGTGCAGCCTTTATTACTACCCTTACTGTATTAGAAATGTTCATATCAGCCTATGTCAATTACTTGACCGCTTATACCTTTCTGTTGAAAGTTCTATTACACAAACTAGATCCCCAACTCACTTATAAAAAATAAACTTTTTATTACAGAAAAACTGCATACATAATCTAGAGTGTTTTCATGTGTCTTGTACCCAGTTTTCTTTATTGTGAATACTTTGCATTAGTATGGTACACTTGTCAGAGTTGATAAACTAATATTGATGCACTATTAATGAAGTCTATACTTTAGCC